TGCAGAAACTAGAAAGGAAGCTGGACAGAATCTCGCAACAAAAATCAGCAAATGAAGAAGACGCATGGATTAAGAATCTATCCAAACGAACCCTATCCGATACAGAAAGAGCAGTTGTTGTGCGAGGTTTGCAAGTCAATTACAAAGATTCCGATCTCATTGATTTCCTTGCCGCACTTGAATCAACGCCGACCACATCAAACATCACAACTGAAGCCCAACATGCAATTAGACACAGCATCATCCCGCTCTGTGTCACAAAGTGGAAACCAACATATTCAGTGTAAGCGAACGAAAGGCACTGACAAACCTCAGAAAAGACAAGACTATTGTTATGCTACCGGCCGACAAGGGACGTCTTACTGTAATAATGGACAAAACTGATTACATGAAGAAAGCACAAGAACTGCTCGTAGATGTGAACACCTACCAGCCGATAAGTGGAGACCCTACAAAACGTTTGGAAAGCAAGATCAATAAAACTCTTCAAAGCTTGGAACAAATGGGACAAATCATGAAGTTAGAACACAGCAAGATGAAACCCGAGGATTCAGTTCCACCACGGTTCTACGGCCTACCTAATATACACAAAAATGGGGTACCGCTTCGCCCTATCGTGTCATTACCTAGGGCACCAAATTACAAGCTGTCTAAGGAACTTTGGAAACGGTTGAAACATCTAATCGCAGGCTCAGAGCATTCAATTCATTTGGCAGAACAATTTCTTGAAAAACTTAAGGGAATAACAATAGAAAGGGACGAGATAATGGTCTCTTTTGACGTTACAGCTTTGTTCACATCAATTGACATGACACTGGCAAGGTAAACAATGAGGACTCTGCTTGAACAACACGGAGCGGTAAATACCAGCAACCGAATTGAAGTCACACAAATGATGGAGTTGCTGGATTTCTGTCTCACCACACATTTCACTTTCAACGGTCAAATGTACAAACAGATAACGGGTACGCCAATGGGATCGCCAATCTCTGGATTGGTAGCGGAAGCAATGTAATGCAAAGCTTGGAAGGGAAGGCATTGCCAATAGTGGAGCCCAAACTTTGGGTACGTTACGTAGATGACACTTTTGTCATCCTCAAACGCTCCAGACTACAAGAATCACATCAACTAATCAACAATATTTTTTTCCGGCATCCATTTCACCAAAGAGGAAGAGAACAATGATCAGTTGCCATTCTTGGACATGCTCGTGAGAAGACATGCTTCTGGGTCACTGGAAACAACAGTTTATCGGAAAGCGACCCACACTGATCAGATCTTAAACTATCGCAGTAACCATCCGACCACATGCAAGCGAAGTTGCGTGAGGACGCTTTTCAAACGGGCCCAGACACATTGTAGCACGCCGCAACTGAGGAAGGCGGAGGAGGACCACCTATTTAACATGTTTCAGCGAAATTCGTACCCTAGAAGCTTAATTCTACGCTGCCTGATGTCGAAGAGTCGGTCACCACCCGCGTCCACATGTGCAACAGAAAGAAGAACGATTATCCTACCTTATATCCATGGGATTTCTGAAATGGCAGCGAGGCTTCTAATGCCTCACGGGCTAACTGTTGCACACGAAGCAACGGAAACCACATGAAATAAACTTTTTAAGGCGAAGGACAAACTGTCAAAGAAAGAAACATCGGATGTGGTTTACAAAATTTCTTGCAAGAGCAGTGAGAATTACTATGTAGGCCGTACGCCATACCTTTAGGTCATCAGCAAATAGCAAACAGTTAGAAGATAGCACGCTAAAGAGATCATTTATGAAAACCAGGAACAGACGGGGTCCAAGTACCGAGCCTTGAGGTACGCCGCACCGAACTTCGATGGATTCTGATAGGTTGCTTCTAATCCTCACATTCAGGTGACGTTGCACGAGAAAGTCTCCTATCCAGGCAAGAACGGGATCGCCGATTCCATATTTCTGGAGTTTGTGGAATAGAATCCAATGGTCTATACGGTCGAATGCATTTGAGAAATCCAGGTAGGCCGCGTCGACTCCTACACCAGCGTCACAGATTCCGTCCAGCTTGCACGAGTAATCAACGGATTAGTGGTACAGGAGCGATTTTGGCGAAATCCATGCTGCTCCGGAACGAGAATTTTGTTGTTCTCCAGGCACCCATCAAAGCCTCAGCTACAATGGACTCCATAACATTGGAGATCACAGGAAGTAGTGTTATCGGGCGATTAATTGTTGGCTAAGCACGACTGCCACTTTTGTAGATTGACGTGACGATTCCGTGCTTCCACATCTTGGGGACGTGCATCTCGTTCACACATCGTTGAAAGAAAATTGCTAATGGTCCTGCCAAACTCATGGCAGCAACTTTCAACGCCTTCGGGCGAATGCCGTCCGCACCCAGGGAGCTGAACTCGCGCAGAGACATCAGCCTCTTCAGTACAGCTGCAGAGGTGTCATCAAGGCCTGATGGCGGCATTATCTGCTTAGGCAGGATGTATGATGATTGCACGCTTTGGAAGGTACGGCCAACTTGTTGTCCAAGAATCTAGGCCGCCTCTTGTGAGGTTTGGGCTAACCCGCATGCTGTGTGCAGATCAGGAATACTGCGCTTGACACGGCGCAAATTGTTTACGTGTCTGTATAGCAGTTTGGGATTGGAGCAAAATTTTTCCACTAGACCTTGTTGCTTCTTAATTTTATCCTCCCGGACGAGTTCGACACAGTGGTTCCTTTGTATTGTGTAGACATCCCAGGTATGGTCGTTCGGCGAGGCTTTGTAAGTGTGCCATGCCAAGTCCCTTGATGCCATGCATTTACGTGTCCTGCTCCTTGCGAAAGACGTCACCCTTTTAGGCCGACAGAGTTTGGTTTCAGATGTCCTTGCCACGAGCTTGGGAAATATGTCGACGAGTTCTTCGCAGACCACCGCAGGGGTTAATTCAGCTAAGAACGACCAGCTGGCTGCATCAATGAGGTCGGACAGGTCGTCATAGTTGGTTACGACATGATATTCCTCGGCATGCTCTTTAGGATGATCCGCGTAGCACATGTAATGAAACACTAGCGTCGCATGATCCTG